GGGTCACCCTATATCCTGACATTAATGGCCATAAATGAATGATAAACGGGTTTCGGATAGACACTTAACTTGAATTTGTAGACAGCGTGTTGACAATGGTACACCTTTGGGTTCCATAACACTACGTCCAAGTAAAATTAACAGGAGCCGAATTTGCTCCTGTGTGAGCCTCTGGTCTCGTATAAACCATGGCTGTTTAACACTCCATACTATTGACGTTACTGGCCGACATTGTCCAGAATGATAGGAGCCGAATTTGCTCCACACGTCTCGGAGGTGACACAACAATGGCTCCCCCTTTCCTCCCTGACGCCTGGCCTACTTTGTCCACATGTCAGAAAGTGATAGAAGGGTCACATTTACTCTACTTTAATATTGATAATTAAGTTAATTTATATAAGATGTTTTTATGATGGTAAAGTCCAAAGACTAATGTATTTAAGAATAATTCCCAGCAGAATAGCTGGTGAATTATAATAGTATGTGGTGATGATATCCCGTTTTCTTTAGACGGTAATTCCACTACAAGTTACGTTTTCTATGGGTAACTTGTTGGTAATACAGCAGAAATTATTATCTGTCTGTATGATATATTAAATGGTGTCGTATTTTCCGACACCGTGGGTGTGGTGGAGCTTGAGGCGTGGGTTACAGACACCATGGTAATGTATACTAACGTTTGGCAGTGTATACTAGCGTATGATAGTGTATTCGTGTGTGTATGACAGCGTATACCTGTGTATGAGAGTGTATACTGTGTATAACAGTAAATATTCATTGCTGTAAGTGAGGTCGGGGGAAATATAACTCGGAGAGCAAATACAAATATTCTTACTCTCATATTTTTTCCCCTGGTCGCCCATTTTATTTATAAAGTGTTCGAAATCCCACTGTATTATTATCTGGTGTGTACGTATACACCGGATGGGTCCTGTATCAACACTGTTCGACAGTTACCACCTCTTCCTCTCCCCCTTCCTCCCTCCGGTGTTATGAGACAAGTGGCAGCTCCTACCGTCGAGACGTCTCAGGGAAAATCCTCCGGAAAACTAGTTGATCTCAAGAAATTGGACCATCAGTAAATACGTCTCGTCTTTAGGTGGGAGGAGAAATTCACTGGTTGTCTCGAAGGGTGAAAATAATTCCTTCTGGCGGCACAACGAGAGCAACTGTGAATGATGTGCTTTGGAACATTATGTATTTTGTTACTTGCATTTGTTTTGTTATAGTAGTGGGTTAGCCCCCTTGTGTGTTGGGATAGTGGGTTAGCCCCCTTGTGTGTTGGGATAGTGGGTTAGCCCCCTTGTGTGTTGGGATAGTGGGTTACCCCTTGTGTGTTGGGGTAGTGGGTTAGCCCCCTTGTGTATTGTGATAGTGGGTTAGCCCCCTTGTGTGTTGGGATAGTGGGTTAGCCCCCTTGTGTGTTGGGATAGTGGGTTAGCCCCCTTGTGTGTTGGGATAGTGGGTTAGCCCCCTTGTGTGTTGGGATAGTGGGTTAGCCCCCTTGTGTGTTGGGATAGTGGGTTAGCCCCCTTGTGTGTTGGGATAGTGGGTTAGCCCCCTTGTGTGTTGGGATAGTGGGTTAGCCCCCTTGTGTGTTGGGATAGTGGGTTAGCCCCCTTGTGTGTTGGGATAGTGGGTTAGCCCCCTTGTGTGTTGGGATAGTGGGTTAGCCCCCTTGTGTGTTGTGATAGTGGGTTAGCCCCCTTGTGTGTTGTGATAGTGGGTTAGCCCCCTTGTGTGTTGTGATAGTGGGTTAGCCCCCTTGTGTGTTGTGATAGTGGGTTAGCCCCCTTGTGTGTTGTGGTCGTGGTTCCTCCTTGTGTATTGTGGTCGTGGTTCCTCCTTGTGTATTGTGGTCGTGGTTACCCCTTGTGTATTGTGGTCGTGGTTACCCCTTGTGTATTGTGGTCGTGGTTACCCCTTGTGTATTGTGGTCGTGGTTCCCCCTTGTGTATTGTGGTCGTGGTTACCCCTTGTGTATTGTGGTCGTGGTTCCTCCTTGTGTATTGTGGTCGTGGTTACCCCTTGTGTATTGTGGTCGTGGTTACCCCTTGTGTATTGTGGTCGTGGTTACCCCTTGTGTATTGTGGTCGTGGTTCCTCCTTGTGTATTGTGGTCGTGGTTACCCCTTGTGTATTGTGGTCGTGGTTCCCCCTTGTGTATTGTGGTCGTGGTTACCCCTTGTGTATTGTGGTCGTGTTTACCCCTTGTGTATTGTGGTCGTGGTTCCTCCTTGTGTATTGTGGTCGTGGTTACCCCTTGTGTATTGTGGTCGTGGTTACCCCTTGTGTATTGTGGTCGTGGTTCCTCCTTGTGTATTGTGGTCGTGGTTACCCCTTGTGTATTGTGGTCGTGTTTACCCCTTGTGTATTGTGGTCGTGGTTCCCCCTTGTGTATTGTGGTCGTGGTTACCCCTTGTGTATTGTGGTCGTGGTTCCTCCTTGTGTATTGTGGTCGTGGTTCCCCCTTGTGTATTGTGGTCGTGGGCTTCCCCTTGTGTATTGTGGTCGTGGGCTTCCCCTTGTGTGTTGCGATAGCTGTTCCCCTGTGTTGTGGTGGTTGATACTAAGGTTCGACAGTATTAATGTTGATCAATATCACGGCTATTTTGTTTCTTCCCGCTGTTCAGGGAAGACAGAGGGGCATGGAATGAATGCTGAATAGTGTTTTGATGCAGCGCCGGGGGCTTGGGGCTTGGGGCTTGGCGTTGGGGGGCTGGGGGTTAGGGGAAGCTGGGGGCTTTGGATGGAATGGGGTGTCTGATTCTTGAACGTGCTCGTAACTGGCTCTTCGTTTTATCTTCTTGAATATGACAGGTTGCTTTGTCCCTGAATAGGCAAGTGTTAAATATTAGAGGTGCTTGTTGTTGAATATGAGGATGGTAAATATAAGAGGTTGTAAGTGTTGAATATATCTGGTTGTGGCTGACTTTGTTGCAACTTATCTGACGTCGTATGTGTTGGATGCCACTTATCAAACACTGTGAGTATCAATTGTTACTTATCTAATATCGTGAGTGTTAGTTATTAATTATCTAACATCATAAGTGTTAGTTGTTGCTTATCTAACACTGTAAGTGTTAGTTGTAACTTGTCAAACATCGTAAATATTAGTTGTAAATCATCTACCATCATGTTAAGTAACTTTTGCTTTACACAAAACGTTGATGAGAGGCGTCGTGAAGGGTGGCAGCTCCCACACCTGGCTCACGTCCTGAGGACAGTTTAGGCAGGTGTGGGCAGGTGAAGCTGTTGGCACCACCACCTCCACCACACCCTCAAGGTGTACCACCGCCACCACACCCTCAAGGTGTTGTAGGCACCTTCACCGCCACCCTCAAGGTGTACCACCGCCACCACACCTTCAAGGTGTTGTAGGCACCTTCACCACCACCCTCAAGGTACACCTCCGCCACCTTGTGGGTGGTGGAGGGCCGAGGTATGTGACCCTCCACGCTACCTAATCTTTACCAATAAACTCGAGGCATTTATATCCTTCAAACACGAAATAATATTTTGATAATGTGTGAAAATGTTTATATGTGAATATAAAATTAGTTGGCTGTATAGGAAAGAACATTTTGTATCCTCTGGTGAACACTTCATCGTTGTGTTGAAGCATCAATGGTTTAATTAAGGCAGGAACGGTTTTTCATAATATGTTTATATTTCAAAATGGGATCCCTTTTATATATTAAGTTAATATGTTTTGTCTCAAAAAAGAAATGTTCTATAATATTTAAAGCGTCCGCAAATACCAGTTTAGTCGACGACGACGACGGTTTAGTCGACGACAACAACAGTTTAGTCGACGACCACGACACACTATAAGGTCTGAGGCTTCCAGTCTCAAGATATTAAAGCAATATTTTCTGAACGCGGGAGTTTACACCGAGATGTTGGCGAGAAGTAAAGTTGGCGAGAAGTAATGTTGGCGAGACTTATTGGCAATAAGGTGCGGTGGCGATGAAGATGGAAGACCTTGCACAGAAGCCTTCCAGAATTTCTTTATTGAAGGTCAACATTGTTCCAAATTCCAAACTGGAACCAAACTCAGAAAGTATCAGATTTATCATTTGTACCAAGAGAGACAACAACGGCACTTTCCTACACCGTGGGAGATTACACCCCTTTCCAATTTTCATCCCTCCCTTTCCACCCAAGAAACAAATTAGAGATGAGCCCAAGCTTCGTCTTGAGACAAAGCTCAACGCCTTAAGCCATACTGATGCTCTCTCCCACAGAGCATTCTCTCTCTCAAATCATATACACTGATGGTTCCCTACACCGCACCACGGGTGCAGCTGGAAGTGCAGTTGTCCTGAGCATGGGAGATGGCTTATATTTTGAGCTGTGACCTGGACCTGGGGTATGAGGACAAGGAGCTGTGGTATGAGGACAAGGAGCTGGGGTATGAGGACAAGGACCTGGGATATGTGGACAAGGACCTGGGATATCAGGACAAGGACCTGAGTTAGATACAGTAAGAGAGTGTTGGATACAGTAAGCGAGTGTTGGATACAGTAAGCGAGTGTTGGATACAGTAAGCGAGTGTTGGATACAGTAAGCGGATGAAGTTATATAAACTAGGTTTGACAAAATACAAAATTCTACTCTTAATGTGACTGAAAATTTTAATTGCCGCCACGAGCGTTGTGGCCCTTAATATGATGATCTAGTGTGTAAATAATTAATGAGGTAACCTATTGGAACTAAACTAAGGTACAGTCGGGTTTTAGTTTGTGATAAGATTAAATAGGTTTCTGGCTTAATTATAATCCACCGTGTTTTCTGCCTTGGAAGATTGCCTATTGTGTGTGTATATATATATATATATAAATCAGGTTCGAGGATGAAATTAGTAACAGCAAAAGATTAAAAGCACTTCGCTTAAGCAACAGCCCGGCTAATTATATAACTCAATCCACCTGCCTTATCCGTACACTTAATATTAACGGCAACAAGAAAACCTGCCATTCTTTTTGCCTTGCGTGGCAGCCTTGCCGAAGACGTCTTCTGGGAGATATAATGGCCGCTCCCCGGAGCTGTCGTTATCTTCTGGCAGATATAATGGCCGCTCCCCGGAGCTGTCGTTATCTTCTGGCAGATATAATGGCCGCTCCCCGGAGCCAGTGAGGCATTAGAGCCTTAACAAAGACCAAGGTTGTAAGACTTGATACACTGACAGGTCTTTTCATTGAGCGGCAGACCTGGGTTACTGGTGGCAGGCGTCAGTACCTGCTCAACACCACCCGTGACCGCCCTCACCTGGTGATGAGCACCTGGTATGTGGTGAGGTGATGAGTGACTACCTGTCATGTGTACTCACCTGGTTGTGCTCGCGGAGGTTGAGCTTCGGCTCTTTAATCCCGCCTCTCAACTGTCAGTCCAACCCGTTCTCGCACTTGCGTATAGTCAATATTGGCTTATTAAATAAGTGCATATGTGACATACTAATTTATTGTGAATATTTTAGTTTACCTTGAAAAGCTTCATAGAAAACAAAGACCTTACCTAACCTTCTTAGTATGTTAAGATAAGCATCATGTTGTTTCTTAATTTCAATTATTACTTAACCTATTATAGGTATAGGTTAAGTAATAATTGTAATTAAGAAGCAATAAGATGCTTATCTTAACATACTAAGAAGGTTAGGTAAGGTCGGTGTTTTCTATGAAGCTTTTCAAGGTAAACTAAAATATTCACAATAAAGTAGTATGTCACATATGCACTTATTTAATAAGCCAATATTGACTATAAGCAAGTGCGAGAACGGGTTGCAGTCAACTGGTGTCCGGTTGGTGTGTTCTGAGGGGGGGGACACACACAAGGTTCTTGCACGGGCATTACGCCGCCGAATAACTGGTTTAATACAGAGCCCAGGAGCTGGAACTCAGTCTCATAAAAAAATAGATAGTGCATACACGTTCACTTGTGCACGCGTGCACACACGCACAGGCACTCAGACACGCACACAGGTACTCAGACACGCACACACGCACGGATATAGGCACTCAGACACGCACACAGAAGCACAAGACACTCAGGAGTGCATGAAACCTAAGGTTGTCCCGACCCGCTGCTCTGCTTCTCTGTTATGCTAATTAAGTCAATTATTTTAACTGAATTTAAATTACCTGAAGGAGTAGTGTCTCACGTGAAGATGGGACGCAAGACGCTGGTGGTGCTGGGGACCACCACCACCAGGACCTTAGTGGTGGTGGTGGGGACCACCACCACCACCAGGCCCTTAGTACACACGGCTTCATTTGGAAGCAGGTTGAAGAGGCCGTCAGTAAAGGCAGGTTCTTGTCAACAATGGACACGTAGAAGAATCATTAAAAGGAAGATGCTGCCTTTGTCGACACGCCCAACACTACAGCATCTGCCCAGGCTATTAAACTCTTCTATACGATCTTCTTTTCTGCGGCTCACAAAATGGAGGAAGGAGTCCTGAAACACATCATTAACAGAAACTTGAGCCCAACCGACATTAATCAGAAGATGCGGTTAGCAACTTACTACAAGAGCAAGAACACTGGTAATTTACTCATGAACTCTCATAACACCAAGCCAAATGCTTCGAAAGTGATGAATGGTGTCTATTTATTTACATGCCCACTTAGGGACTATCAGACCCCACCGATTTCAATATATAGACAAGACAATATTTCCTTTAAGGCGTCTGACTGCAGAAACAACAAAGGCTCTATCAAAGATAACATCGTTTCTATATGTAGAAGAAATTAGTTATCACAAGAAATAACGTGACTACCAACACCGAAATAATCGAAAGACAATGACAACAGAAGTCTTTCTTGTAAACATATGTTGTTGAATATGACCGAAAAGTTAAGATTAACGATTCTAAGACAAATCTTCTCAATATTTCTTATGTTTTCCTTCACTGTCGAGGGAAGTCGAAAAATTAATTCTCCAAAGTTTATTTTCACGCTTTTTATTTTGGTCTGACGCGTAGGGATGCGTTTAGCAAGGTCACTCCTGACATTCTCAAAGACAAATTTACCATGTTGTTGTTGTTTTAAATTTAGCTACTCAGAACGAAATGTCCATGTAGCACGGGCTATGGTGAGCCCGTAAAGTTTACCATGTTTAGCACGGGCTTATATTCTCTTTGCGTGACGTGGTAAAGAACAAGCGGATGAAACAAGTGGATGAATGGCATAATATAAGAGATATTAAATGTGTCAACATAGACATCTTATGTCCTTGTGACTGCTTGTATTCCTAAGGCAGAGTCATTGGATCATGTCTCTGCATTGGCTCGGGGTCTTGAAGTGGGCAGAATGTAATTATTTGGTAATTGGTTGTTGATGGCTGGCCCTTGACTTTTTAATGTGTGTGGTGCCTCGCTGATGATGTCCACAGAACATCAGTGAGTTCTGTATACTCGACAACAGAAGACTGGACATCAGCGAGGTGCTACACATCAAAAAGCAAACGCCAGCAATCAACAACCAGTTAACACATAATTGCATATATATAAATATATATATATATATATATATATATATATATATATATATATATATATATATATATATATATATACATTGCCAGTAACTTGCCTTCATCAAGACAAGACAACTATTCGGGTACTCCGTCACAGCCTGAGAGAGAGAGACTGGCATCTGAAAGTTGCTCATCCGTGCTGGAGTATAATCAATATAACACAAAGACAAGTATAATTCCTTAGGATAATGTGACTTAGTGAGGCTGAATAGTCCCAGCTTTCCCTCTCCCCTCTGGATGGTTAGTCATCAGCGTATTCCGATTTGTTTATGTTTGTCCTACGTCGGGTGAGAAAGGTTTAGGTGTGCACGTTTAGGTGAGTGTTTCTGGGGTTGTGTGTTCTTGAGGGTGTTAATGTGTGTTTTTCGGGTGTTAGTGTGTGTGTTCTTGCGGGTATTCTGAGTGTCACGGACGTAGAGGGTTGCATGCATTACAGGGGACGTCTCCTCTGATGTAGTGACCTTGTTGTCATTGATTCTGGCGCAGCAGATGTTCTCTATAGTAGAGGTTCTATACACGAGCCTCTGTTGGTGTTCTTGCTCCCCCTCTTATGGCCTGTCACACCCCCTCTTATGGCCTCTCACACCCCCTCTTATGGCCTCTCACACCCCTCTTATGGCCTCTCACACCCCTCTTATGGCCCTCTCACACCCTAGGTATGGCCCCTTTCACACACACACACATACACCCCTATTTCCATGAGCCCAATAATGGCCGTATCCTCGTCTGGCCCCCACAGGACGTGCCGATCCACGCGACGATGGTGACGATGGTGTTCGTGTCGATGGACCGCTACCGCACCATCGTCACCCCGAACAAGGCGCGCCTCCCGCCCTTCATCGCCGTCCTGGCCGTCTGGGTCGTCTCCGTCTGCGTAGTCCTGCCCTACGCCGTCTACATGCACTACATCGACCTTCAGGTACGTCTTAACCCCTTACATGAAGCGCCTCGATTAAATTAATCCTTAAATTGCTCAAGAGAGTATATATATATTCCGTATGTGTTTTCTTGGAGGATATTGTGCAGCGACGATCTCGCTTCTTGTAGGTCGGCGTTCGATCCACGATGGCCCTCCCACGTGGTTGGACATCGCTTCTTGACTTCGTCTAGCTCCTCTTTCCATTTTCTATCGTGTCCTCGTGTCCCATCCCTATCCTATAGTCACGCTGTACTCTGCGTTTTTCCTGATTCTTTTCTTTCAGTTCCTACTGGTTTCGAGAATTCATTAGTGGTGCTGTTTTGTTGACTGACTTTATCGCTGCTTTATTAGCGCGCTGAGCCTTTATGAGCGCGCTGAGCCTTTATGAGCGCGCTGAGCCTTTATGAGCGCGCTGAGCCTTTATGAGCGCGCTGAGCCTTTATGAGCGCGCTGAGCCTTTATGAGCGCGCTGAGCCTTTATGAGCGCGCTGAGCCTTTATGAGCGCGCTGAGCCTTTATGAGCGCGTGAGCCTTTATGAGCGCGCTGAGCCTTTATGAGCGCGCTGAGCCTTTATGAGCGCGCTGAGCCTTTATGAGCGCGTGAGCCTTTATGAGCGCGCTGAGCCTTTATGAGCGCGCTGAGCCTTTATGCGCGCTGAGCCTTTATGAGCGCGCTGAGCCGCGCTGAGCCTTTATGAGCGCGCTGAGCCTTTATGAGCGCGCTGAGCCTTTATGAGCGCGTGAGCCTTTATGAGCGCGCTGAGCCTTTATGAGCGCGCTGAGCCTTTATGAGCGCGCTGAGCCTTTATGAGCGCGCTGAGACTTTTTGAGCGCTTGAGCCTTTATGAGCGCGCTGAGCCGCGAGCGTTTGGCTGCTGTACTGTGCGTGTGAGCCTTGTGAGTAGCAGCGTCTTACGCGCCGGCAGCTGCTCACATTTAAATATAAATGTGCCTTAAATTAGTTTCATAAACAACACATGTCTGCAAGTTATGGAGAAGTGATCATTCTTCAACACTGCCCTAATAAATTATATTATTATTATTATTATTATTATTAATACATTAATCATATTGGTACAGGAGTGGGCGACTTGTGACTCCTGTTACCAGGCTTGGTACTTCTCCTTCCCGTTGCTCACGGTGTGTCCTAACTTACTAGCTTCCCCTGGAACATGCCCGCTAGTCGCTTTACAACCAGGTCCCAATTACTGCTGGCTGAACAGGAGGGAATAGTTAAGTATTGGTGCTCAGCCAATGCTCCCTGGCTACGGTTCGAACCCACACGGAATTCTCGGGAGGTGCGGGCGAGTCTGCTGCCACTGTACTACTAGGGCAGGACACCGGCCCTGGACACTGTACACAGTAGAGACATGGAGATGTCTCCATTGTGGTAGGGGTTATTGTGCAGCCTGTCTCCCTGGTCGTTCACAACGACACTACACTACACACAGACATCACAATAGCCTGATGCATCAAATGAACAAATCCACAAGGGCCGTGACGAGTATTCGAACCTACGTCCGAGAGCATCCCAGAGGCTGCCTTAATTAATCGACTGAGCTACGACATGGTCTAAACACACTAAACCGTTCTACTAAAGTGCCCGAACCTAACCAACTCGAGAACCCACGAACAGTAAACGGGATATGCCGCTCTTTTCATGAGCCGCTACCATTTCTAGTACATCACATTTCGGTAAAGTACGGGGTCAAAATGCGACGCGGTGATAGGAGAACGGGCTGAGTTGTGACAACTTATCTGGGGCGACGATTTCTAGAATTATGATCTAATTTGTTATTATTGTTAGTTTTTTTTGTAAATTTGACTCTTTACTTACAATAGATTTTCGTCAACCGTCTCCCGAGGATTACTAACCCTGTTAATAAATGACAATTATAATCATAATCAAATTAATTATGTAATTAGCCCGTCGTCATGAACGAAGGCAAGTGATGTGTGTGAACAACCTGTCCTCAGGCGAGGCTGTTTAAACACGCGACTGATCCCAATGACGTATTTTTCATCACTTTTAACGTACTGAGTATTCAATTAGTTTCTCAACTGTAGGTCACTACAAACTAGAATGTGTTGAATAATTAGGTCTAACTGAGGTTAGGTTGCTTGGTTCTGTTGGAAATTAATTATATTTGCGTTACGCGGATGAAGCATTCAGGGAGCTGTGAGTCGAGCAGAGGACGTGAACAAAGCACTGTTCGAAAAAAGTGCGAACGTCATCAGTTTTGAGTCGTGTGTAAAGTGCTTTTTATTCATAAAGACGGGGCTAAGCCGGTGGATTAACGAGCATTTGGCCTTTGTGGATCAGGACGGGCTGTTATGAATTAAAAAAAAAAAGCGCTGTAAACACGACTCAGAACTTATGACGCTCGAACTTTTCTCGAACAATGCTTCGCTCTCTTTCTGCGTTCGAATCGCACCTCTATAAATCGCACCTCTATCTATAAATCGCACCTCTATAAATCCTCTATAATCGCACCTCTATCTATAAATCGCACCTCTATAAATCCTCTATAATCGCACCTCTATAAATCCTCTATAATCGCACCTCTATAAATCGCACTGTAAATACAAATAATTGCCATCAGAACTTAAACACCGAAATATACAACTATACTCGAAATTAAATTATATAATAATAATTTACACCTGAAAAAATGCCAATTATGAACGCACAATACGTTTAAATTGACGAATGGGTCTTTGACGTTAGGAGCGCCTGACCTGAGGACAAGTTAATGTGTAATACTTCAACAATATTTGTGTCTGTAATTGTGTAGTGTATTGATCACTGGTCTCATCACTGTGGTGTGGGGTCCCTGGGGGTCGTGTAGTGACCTCTGCGGTCATCAGCTCGGTGGTCGGCCACCTCAGAGTCCTGTCCAGACTACAGCTTATTGGACTCTCGGTATTCTTATGTTTATAATGTATTGGTTTCTGCTCCTCTTTTGTGATCCGGCAGTGCTCGGGTCTCTCTCTCTCCCCCCACACTATACCCCTCTCGCTTTCTTCTCTGTCTTCCCCTTTTTCCCCCTCTCACCAAATTATCTCTCCTCTTTTATCCTATCCCACTCTCCTCTCCCCCATCTCTCCCCTCTTCCCTCCTCTCTCACCTTCTTCGCTTTTCATCCCCTTCCTTCTATATCTCCTTCTCTCTACTTCTCTCTCCTCCTCTTCCTCCTCTCCCGCCTTTCATACCTCTCTTCCCTATCTCCCTCTCCTTTCCTCCATGTCTCCCCTCTCCTTCTAACACTTTCCGCACATTTCTCCACCTCTCTCATCCCTCTCCCCCTATTCCCTTTCCCCTCTTCCAGTCTCTACCTTAACCCATGTCTCACTCCCCACCCCCACTCTCCCCCCATCACCATTCTTCTGCCCCTCTCCCCATCATCATCCCCTCGGCCTCTCTCCTCCCATCTTTCCCCTCTCTTCCCCCCTGCCACCTCTCTCCTTCCCCTCACCTTAAAAATTCAATATTACGGAGCACGAAAAAGAAATCACCTATTTTATATTTCCTGAAAATCGGAGAAGTGAGGGGGGGGGGGGTATAGAAGAAGTTATTGTGCCGTGATAGAGTAGCGCAGCTGTACTGGGCACATGTAACGGGGCTTTCACTCCTCATCAATACAAAAAAATGTATTTTTTTGCAGTGTGAAAATTGCAGAGGATATAAAGAATAATTAGATGAAAACTTAACACAATTTTCTTTGATACTAATTGTAAACAAACGCATGAAAAATAATACCTGAAACATGGTTAACATAAACTTGGTTATCACACGAGAAAACTTAAAATGAACGCATGAAGAAACTTAAGTTAATACAAGACGTAATGGTAACACGAATATATTTGCAAGAACACCAGCACCTGGACACAAGGAGGTAGCACGGGCTATGGTGAGCCCGTATTTGAGTTCGCGATAACCTTGTTACTCTGATATTTGGGTCAAAGTATTAAATGGAGGTGGGGTTTCCTCCCTTTTCCCTTTTTCTTTTTCGCTTCTGTATTAGTCCGTGGTGAGCGCGGGGTCAGGAGTACCTATACCCCCGCTGGTGACGTCACATTCTATGTCACTAAGGCCTGGGAATGGCACTGGAATGGCATTCTTAAAGAGTGGCACTGGAACTGACCCCGACTGGCCTATGACCCTCACGTACCCACCATGTGTCATCTTGGAAAGTTGAGTGAAGCTACCCCCTAAGCGTCTGACCTCCGTTGGATAAGCATTCTAATAGCTATAAAGACTATATAGACAAGCGCCCTTTCTCTGGCCCCTGCCAGAAAAAGGTCTGACAGCGCAACGTTTAATAACATATTAATATAAGTCTTCTTTGACAGACACGGGTGAAGGGGGAGGCGAATGGTGCTTGTATTGAGGGTGCGAGGCACAAGGGATGCTGTTGAGGGCCGCGCTGCTGGTCAATAATGGAGGGCTAAAGGTTAAGGGAATGTTAAGGGGCAACCAGTGGCAACCAAGTATAGGGGCTTGGTTGGTCGTAAGAGTTAACTGGTGGTGGAAGGTGAGGGGGGGGGGAGGGTTGTTAGGTGTGGGGGGGGGGGGACTCCTGCACCTGTCCTCACCTGGTTCACCTCTACTAATTGAATCCCTCTTGTGAGACGCCACGAGCACACTGTTGCCACGTGCATGAGAGCGTCACTGTACCTGCTTGCTTAGACAGTGAAGCAGAGGTTTCTGTGAGGCAGTGAAGACATTCAGGCTTCAGGGAAATGGTCTACTTACACTCAAGTCTAAATGAGATGCGAAGCTAACAGTGAGGCACGAAGCCAACAGTGACACACGAAGCCAACAGTGACACATGAAGCCAACAGTGACACATGAAGCCAACAGTGACACACGAAGCCAACAGTGACACATGAAGCCAACAGTGACACATGAAGCCAATAGTGACACACGAAGCTAACAGTGAGACCGAGTCTTCAGTGAGACTTCATATTCAATTCCAGGATTAGGTTGGATCTGTCTG